TGTACAGTGGACCCTCCAGATACGAATTAAATTCATTCCGGGGGTCCATACTTAACCTGAAAAGTACATAACTGGAAGCGCTGTTTCTGCGCATGCACGCGGCACAATAGAGCATTTATGCACATGCACGCACGGCGAAACCCGGAAGTCTACAGTTCCGGGTTTGCCATGTTCGCAACCCGAAAGTTACGTAACTCGAGGGTCCACTGTATACAGAAAGGCAGTGTCACCATACCACAGCTATTTTTAGCAATATATTTCCATGAGCCCCAATCTAGTGCTGATTATAGTGTTCGACCCATGTGTGAAATGTGAGAAGGGGTTGCGTTTCTTTAAAAAAGGGGGGGTAAGGGACCCCTGACAGTTGTCCAGTCACAGATGACTCTGGGGTTGCGGCGCTCATCTCACTTTACAGGCCGAAGGAGCTGGCGTTTGTCCGCGGACAGTTTTTCCGGGTCATGTGGCCAGCATGACTAAGCCGCTTCTGGTGAAACCAGAGGATTGCACGGAAACGACATTTACCTTCCTGCCGGAGCGGTACCTATTTATGTACTTGCACTTTTTGGCATGCTTTCGAACTGCTAGGTTGGCAGGAGCTGGGACCGAGCAATGGGAACTCACCAAGTCGCCGGGATTCGAACTGCCAACCTTCTGATCGGCAAGCCCAAGAGTGGCTGAGACCACAGATCCACCCGCGTTTCTTATTTGCTGCTAATTGCCTCTTCTCAGCTTACTATCCTACCATAGTTCACGACGCATCCCTTTTCTCCCAGAGTCCTCTGCAAAATTCAGCAATAGTGTGAGACACTTCGCTTTCTATCTTCCAGAACTGAGTCTTCAATGTTATGCTGAGATTTGAAGCTCAGCAGAACAGAAAGGTATTTGAGCATACAACCTGCTCCTAGGCTCAGTACAGTATAACAGGCTTTCTTTCACCTTTCGTCACCTGAGTCAGGAAAGGAAGTCATATTGTGCTGAGCAGGGTCTGCACTAAAGGACCAGGTGCGGTTGCCTCTGGTGTGTAGATTTGGAGGCCTGCTTTCAAAGAATAAACAAAAACTGAAAACTGATGAAATAGCATTAGAGGAGAATCTCCACTTATGCAGGGGTTCCATTCCTGGCTGCTACTGTACAACCTGCTGGGACACACACCCAGGGTGGATTTGATTTAAATCAAATCAATTTAAATCACAATTTAAATCACTAGTCAGTGATTACAGGAAGACTCATTCTTGCTGGTGTAATCTTAATATTTACAACCAGATAAAGGTTTCATTTTTGGAATAATAACTTTTCAGAGTAGTTTTTACAGTTATATATCAAAATTTACTGATTTGGTTATACTATTAGAAATACACAGACCGATAATTATGAAATTATTGTGAGGTTTAATAAGTTAACTTTATATTTGGACAACTTTTCTGCTGTACAGTGGTGCCTCGCAAGACGAAATTAATTCGTTCCGCAAGTCTCTTCGTCTTGCGAGTTTTTCGTCTTGCGATGCACGGTTTCCCATAGGAATGCATTGAAAATCATTTAATGCGTTCCTAGAGAACCGCCTTCAGACCAGGTCCGGGGACAGTCTGTCCCCGGACCTCTTCTGAAGGCTGGGGGAGCAAGGGCTTTCTTCCCACCCCCAGCATTTTAAAAACCCGGGACAGCGGAGGACTTCTCCGCTGTCCAGGCGATCTTAAAATGCTGGCGGGCGGCATTTTAAAATCACCCGGGACAGCGGAGGACTTCTCCGCTGTCCGGGGCAATTCAAAGCCCCTGGGAAGGCAGGCAGGGGGACAAAGACTTTGCCCCCGCCAGCCTTCAGAAGAGGTCCTGGACCTCTTCTGAAGGCGGGCGGGGCGAGTCTTGCTCCCCCGCCTTCAAAAGCCCTCCGGGACAGGCAGGCAGGGGGAGCAAAGACTTTCGCCCCCGCCCGCCTTCAGAAGGTCTTCCCTCCCCCGCCCGGCCCGGAGCACCGTTCCGAGGCCGGGCGGCGGCGGGAGGTCTTCCCTCCCCCGCCCGGCCGGGCACCGTTCCGAAGCCGGGCAGCGGCGGAGGTCTTCCCTCCCCCCGCCCGGCCGGGCACCGTTCCCGAGCCGGGCGGCGGCGGCAGGTGTTCCCTCCCCCCGCCCGGCCCGGGCACCGTTCCGAGGCCGGGCGGCGGCGGCTAGGTGTTCCCTCCCCCCGCCCGGCCGGAGGAGCCTTCCGAAGCCCGGCGGCGGCGGGAGGAGGTGTCCCCGCCCCGCCGCCAGGCTCGGAGGAGGTCCGAGGACAGTGGGGAAGACGCGCTGCGCTTCCCCGCTGTCCCTGAGATTTCCCTATGGGCTGTCGTCTTGCGAAGCAAGCCCATAGGGAAATTCGTTCTGCGAGCGCCTCCAAAACGGAAAACCCTTTCGTCTAGCGGGTTTTCCGTCTTGCGAGGCGTTCGTCTTGCGGGGTACCACTGTACTTTATTGGAAGGAGAATTTCCTTAATAACAATTTAGACAATTTATTTAGCTAAAACAATAACATTATAGCATATGTATCCATGTTTGTTAACTGATGTGTTTAAACAATTTAAAACAAAAACTTAGATTGAGTTTTAGCACATATGAAAGATTTAAAACAAATCCTTATTTTCTGATGAATAGCCTTTGGACTATAATGTAACTTAAATAGAAAACTATCTTTAGAAAGATTTTTTCCTCCAAACGCATTTTATTTTAAAAATCCAATTTAAATAAATAAATAAATAAATCATTGATTTTTATCCACCCTGCACATGCCAATGGGGAGTTACCCGTTCAACCCCTGCCCCCTTTGGCTCCAAGAATGACACATGTGTCAATGGGAGCACGCATGCTGATCACGCATAGGTGTGCTCCTGTATGTAACCTCCTAGCTCTTCGCAGCTTCTGCTTGTTTCAGTAGTGCTAGAACAGCAAGCGTACTATGAGACAATACAGGAAGATGGTTTATGTTGCCTTTTGAACCTTATTTTTAAAGTTATAGTTCTGCCGCTAGTCATTCATTTAATTTGCTTTTATTGATTCCCTCCCCACCTTTTGTTTTTGCAAGAAGTGGGATATGTTAGGTTCAGCTACTGGCACAAGGTCACTCACATATCTGTGAGCCAGAACATGAATCTGCTTTAGATAATATACAATCATAAGTCTATGTATTATGGGAGTGGGATATCCCATTTGCCCAAGTTTAAAATATAGCACATCTGGTACTGATATAATCATACACAGGAGCACAATTTGTCGTTAGTACACAGGAAACAGATAACCATCTTGGTATCGTGGGTGGTATTCAAGTAAGTTTGAGTAAGACCCATTGAAATTAATGCAACTAAATTTCATTTATTAACTTTGGTGGTTCTACTCTGTGAAATGCTTACTTCAATACTGCCCATTATATGCAGGATTTGGCAAAACTATCCAGTTTGCAAAACACCTGGGTAAGACAGAGGTTAACACTTTGTATGCAAATTCAGTATTATGAAATAATGATATTTGGAAAATAGCGTTTTGAGGTATGCATATAAATCTAATTTCCCTTCACCTTTTGTTCTCTCTCTCTCTCTCTCTTACACACACACACACACACACACACACACACACACACACTCAACATTGCAAGAAAGTTAGAATATCTTTGCTGGGTCAGACAAAAGTTCCATCTTGTCTAGCATCCTGTTTCGCATAGTGACTGACCCCTTGCCTTTCAAGAAGCCTGAAGTGTGACATTTATTTCCTCTCTCTTGTCTTTCCTGTGGTTGCAACTGTATTTATTGGCATAGTTCCTCTGACTATTAAGGTTCAGTTATAACCATCATGGCTAATATTGATTGATAGACCAATGCTCCATCACTTTGTGTAATTAACGCCTTCTCAGACAGTATCCATCACTACATCTTACTGTACCAGTAAATTCTATAATTAAGCATTGTGTGAAGAAGCATTCTATTATTGTCTGTTTTGAATTTGCTATCCATTTTAATTGAGTGACTCAGAATGAAACTATGTCTCTCAGAAATAGGTACTTCCTTAATACCATGTATCATTTTTAAGATGTATCCTCAACACCATGTTTCATTTTTTATGTTTTCCCCTCTAAATGTTTTCTCCAAAAGCTCAATAGACCCTTTAATCTACTTTGCAGGTTCCAACCCCTTGATTTTCTTTCCCCCCTAATAATTGCTAATATGAAACTTGCCATTTTGAAAAAAAACACTGTTGCCTACTGCAGCACCAAATATCTCTTTCCTGGTTAGTCAATGAGATGCCAGATTTCATTGATATATTTGAAGTTAGTATCTTTTGCCCCAGTGTACATAACTTTATGGTTACTTTAACTGAACCTAAGTTGTCATTTTGTTGGCTTTTTACCAATTTACTTAGCTCTTCGGCAATCTCCCCATTCTTCAAAAATCCCTTTACGTGTTCCTTTTGTCATCTCAACAGTTTTGACCACCTTTCTAACTGGTTTAGTGCCTCTGTTGTATTTAAATACTGTAACTGTTTACTGCTTGTCTTAATGTTTCTAGCAATATGCTTTTAATTCCCTTTTTCTTGCTTTCCGTACTGTCAGCTTACACTTGTTTTGCCACAGTCTGCGAAGCTCTGCTTCTTGAGCAGCCTTTTAAAAATAAAAAGCTGTCACAGCATTTTGTGATTATTTTCTCTGCACAATGGTGGATAAATCTTGTTAGTTTTTGTTACTCATCCATTTTCTGCTATGGTTGGCCTGGTTCTATGATAGCTTCTTATCCACTCAACTAATACTCAGTTTATCCAGAAAGAATAATATACACAAAGTTGTCAATGAGATTGATAGCAAAGCTATAGAGATCAAGCCATAGAATAAGAATGGGCAACCTGTGCCCCTCCACATGTTGCTGATCCAGTGTGGTGTAGTGGTTAGAGCATCCCACCTTTTTCTCCAAGGAGTACATGGTTTACCCCCTTCCTGAATTAATCCCTACAATGACCCTGTGAGGTAGATTAAGAGGCTGTGAGTAGCCTCATGACTGAGTGGGGATTTGAACCCTGGCCTCTGAGGTCCTAGTCTAACACTCTAACCACTAAACCACACTGGCTTCCTAGCAGAGTAGTTCTGCTATGGAGCGGCTATATAAATTAAGTAGAGAATAAATAAATACAGGGAAAGCAAAATGTCACTTAGAGATCTGAAATATTTTTTTGTTTACTTTGAATTTGTCTTATTTTGGATGGTTTTATTAGATGTTTTAATGTGTTGTAAACTGCTTTGATATTTTTTCTTTAACATATAAAGTGGTGTAGAAATAATGATGATGATGATGATGATGTAATTGGGAGAAAGATGCTTAGAAATTCTGTTGTGGCAACTTTAACCTAGATTTGGCAATTAGCTGATATGTCTGAGTTTCTAACACTGGTTTTGAGATAATATCTATCCTACTGCTTTCCACACCTATCCTTGAGAAAGCGCTTCTTGATCTGACTAAATCAACTAATCCAGTGGTTTTCAACCAGTGTGCCGGGGCACCCAGTGGTGGCTAGAATGATGTTCAGGGGTGCCGTGGGCAACACTGGCCCCTGTCGCTCTTTCCTTCCCTCCCTCCTCTGATGTCCTCTCACATTTCTGCCCCCCAAAGGCTTGCACAGCTGTTTGCTGCAGCAGCCCTGGCTACAAGCTCCCCAGGCAAATGATGCCTTTGGGGCTGGCCAGTGGGTGCTTCCCAGACCTCTGTGGGGCAGTGTTAGGAGGCACCTCTCTTTGGGGTGGGGGAGCAGCTCAGAGAGCAAGAGCAGCAGCTGCAGCTGCAGCTGGCCAGAGGACTCCCAAGGAGAAGAGGGGAGGCTGAGGGAACACCCCCAAGGGAGGGTGTTCAAAAAGGGGTGAGGGGCTGCCAGCTCTGCAGGCAAGGGGTGATATTATTGTGCTCCTGAGCCCCACAGGGGTGCCGCAGAAAGAATGTAGTTGGCCAAGGGAGCCGTGGAGTCAAAAAGGTTGGGAACCTCTGAACTAACCTGTTCTAAATCAAGCAGTAGGAAAACACTACCATAATGTTAAGGGGAAAAACTCTCTTCAGTACAGGATGTGTCCTTGTATCTTTTGTAATATGTAGTTTAGAAACGGTGACCTTATAAACTGACACTCAAGTTTCAGTTTGAAAGCCCTCACAAAAGTCAGCTTGTGGGAGCTATGAGGATGATGGTGGCATTAGTAGGGCTACAGGGTTGGTGAGCGTTAAACCCAAAATTGGTTTGTTTTTACATATATTATATAGTTGTATTGGATATTTTTATTTTTCTGGTATGCTTTAAATAGTTTTTTTGTATCCTCTTGTGCATTGCCCTGGGCTCCCTTGAGAGGAAGGGCAGTTCAGAAATGTAACTAACAAATACATAAAATAAATTGTTTACTCAAAAAAGGAAGCATGCATAAGTTTGCAACCTTAGATAATACAGCTTTTCATTCCAAGCAGCTGGTGAAACTGCCTCCAGTATGTAAGCCTCTGATAGAGCTGGGATCGCTGACTTGTGCAACCTTAAAACATTTACTATTTTTCCTTGATGTTAAAATAATACAAACTTCTTGAACAGAGCTGAAGTGATAATTTCCATGCATCATGAAATGCAGGAAGTTGGTTTCTCGGTAGTGGCGCCCTCCCTGTGGAATGCCCTCCCTTCAGATGTCAAGGAGATAAATAATTACACAACTTTTAGAGGACATCTGAAGGCAGCCCTGTATCGGGAAGATTTTAACTTGATGTTTTTAATACAGTGGTGCCCCGCAAGACGAATGCCTCGCAAGATGGAAAACCCGCTAGACGAAAGGGTTTTCCGTTTTGGAGGTGCTTCGCAAAACGAATTTCCTATGGGCTTGCTTCGCAAGACGAAAATGTCTTGCGAGTTCCTGCGGGGTTTTTCCTCCCCCTTTTTCCCAAGCCGCTAAGCCGCTTATCAGCTGATCCGCTAAGCTGCTTAGCCAGCTGATCAGCTGATCACTAAGCCGCTTATCAGCTGATCCGTTAAGCCACTAAGCCGCTTATCAGCTGATCCGCTAAGCCGCTTAACAGCTGATCGCTGCCGCTATCAGCTGATCCGCTAAGCCGCTAACAGCTGATCCGCTAAGCCGCTTATCAGCTGATCCGCTAAGCCGCTGCCGCTAACAGCTGATCGCTGCCGCTATCAGCTGATCCGCTAAGCCGCTAATAGCGCTAATCCGCTAAACCGCTAATGGGCTTGCTTCGCAAGACGAAAAAACTGCAAGACGAAGAGACTCGCGGAACGGATTCTTTTCGTCTTGCGAGGCACCACTGTATGTTTTTAGATGTGCTATAAGCAGCCCAGAGTGGCTAGGGAAACCTAGTCAGATGGGCAGGGTATTATTATTATTATTATTAGCCTGCTCTTCCTTCTAGTTAAGGCCAACCCACTAGTGGAAAAGGGGGGCAGTGATAGCTGTCCTGTCCTCTTCCTGTCCCTTGGGCCTCCCCCTCCTAATATCTCTCTTCATTTGCATCCATCTGGGCTCACCAAGCATCAGTATCAGCTGCCTTCTCTGGCAATTTGTCACTCATACATATAGCAAGAATGGACCTGTCACACAACCTGCCTATGGGCCAGAAATTCCCCACGCTAATTCTAAGTAGCTGAAAGTTCTATATCCCAACATAAACTATTTGCATACTTGGCTGAGACACATTTGTCACCATTTGAAAACGCAGCAGAGAAATATAGCCAGTTTCATGTGATGCATTGATTTGTTTAAAACATAAAGAAATGGATCAAAATTAGAATCCTTTTGTACTTTTAGGAACTTGTGATGTCACTTTTCAGTGGATTAAATGTTTCTGGCCCTAGTAGCTTTTAATAAAGCTGTGTTTTTAGAGTTCCAGAGAAACTATTCAAATATTTAATAGATGAGCAAAATGCTTTCATTGTCATTTTATTCTCCTTCCAAGGCCAGTAAAATAGCTAAAACCACCTGGTTTTACAACCAAAGAGATGGAAAGCAGGACTAATTAGAACAGCTAAAACCTTCCTGAAATAAATTATCTACAAAATATGTTATAAACAGTGTTGATGCAGTATGGCATAATAAAGTTTTGATTAGTGCTTGTACAGAATAATCTAATTGCATTAATGCAACTACCCATGACCTCTGTGTGTAGACAAAGCTTCCAAGCTAGAAGCTCATTATCAACATTTTCTATACATTCTTGTAACTTATACCTTCAGTGAGCAATAAGACAATATAGCAGCACAAAGATAGGCCTGGTTCACACATAATGCTAAACCATGGTTTAAGCATACTTAATCCATCACAAGTTACCCATGAGTTCTCCTATGACATGCATGCACAACACGTCAGTTGTGATCAACCAGTTGATCACAGGGTCTTTCTCTGCAACTTTGGATGCAGCTGCTACCGCTGCCAGTCTCCACGGTGATTTAAGCATCTTGTCCTCCATCTCTTTCTCGAGCCGAGCCTCCTTCCTCCAAAGCCGACTTGCCTTCCTTCCCGTTCTGTTTTGCGCTCTCGGGGGTTAGACCTGCAGTGCCCTGAGGGACGGCTGGAGTATTTGTTTGTGTGTGTGTGTGTGTGTGTGTGTGTGAAGGGGAGGTGTTCCCATGGATACTAACTTAGGGGCGAGGGGCATAACATGTTTGCACTCCAGCTGGTCAAGGCTCTGACTTCCCCCTGGCTGAGGATCTGGGGAGTGCCTCTCCTTACCTGCTAGAGAGGGGAAGGTGGTCTCCATTCCTGCTGCTCACGTTGATCTGGCCACCGTGTGTTTAGGGAGAGAGAGAACAGGCTCCTCAGAAAGAGAACTTTTGCCTCCCTTTCCTCCCCCCCCCCACTTAAACTCCCCCCTCCCACGTCCAGTTAGCTACCTCCTTCCACACATGCACCCTGTTTGAGTGTGATGCACAAGGCAGACCAGTTTGGCTTGGAGGGGGTCTAAAATAAACACAACAAGTACACACGTGTTAAGGGGCAAGCGGGCAGGGAGAGTGTGTGTAAGTTGAAGAATGACAATGTGGTAGATCACTGCCAATTTTTTATACTGGTTAGTAGATCAAAACCTACTTGAAATTGGGCATGCCTCTTCTATGATAAAGCAAAGCATGACTTGTTTCCCCAAAGTGTTTTCTTTCCCAGGTGGTCTTGCATTCCTTTCTAGTTTGTTGATAGTCAAGCAAACCACAATGAAGGAAGGGTGCTGGATTTGTATGTAACACCAAGCCAAAGTTAAACTAAACTGAGGTTTGTAAGCCAACAATGAACTCTGGTTTCACATTGCAGTTTGCTGGCAGAAAACAAACCATTGTTAAACTGTAGGGCAAGACTTGTACATTTTTAACTATGGCTTAGCATTATGTGCAAACCAAGTCATAAGGTAGTGAAATAGCCATCACCTGCGATAGATGCTTGTTTAATCTGCAGTATAATTGGCCTGGCTTCTATAAACAGGCAGGAATAAGCATGGATTGGATAAGCAAGTATTAGATGACAATGTCACAGGGAATAATGCCTCCCCCCCCTCTTGCAGGTTCAACTGTTATTGCTGAAACTTGCATAAATGAAAAACAAATGACATGTCCACACATTGCTTATTTAAGGGATTACTTGTGATGTTTCTGCACATCTCATATCTAAAGTACATGTTAACTTATGAATTCCTTAACCCCCCCCCCCCATCTTCTTCACATGACTAGCACACATATCATTAGAGATACTGAAATGAGTGCTATTGGAGCAGGAGAGAAAACCATATGAATGGGCACTTTGAGAGACTGAATCAAGGGGCACATTTTTTCAACCCAACCCTAAAAATACTAATGTGGGCCAGTCTAAATGGTATGGCTTCATGTGTAGGCTTCTGCACATTATTTTCCTTTAGGAGCTCTCCAAGCAGTAGACATGAATGTCCTTATGGTGGGTATATTTCCAATGTAATCCTTACTAAAAATGGAAAGGTTTAATTCAAACCATTCAGTCACATACTGTCAGGGAACTGACATTGGAGCTAGAGGCGGAGGGAAGGCTCTCAAATGATGCTGGAGAAGGGCCCAGCAGGGAGAGAGGCAGCTCAGCAGATGG